TGAGTGGTTTGTTACCAGCCTGTGAAGAGCTGGAGGACTGAATGCCAATGAGGGGAGTCAGCCATTGTATTCATGTTCATTAGAGGATGGATGCATCTCAACCTGCAGGAAAGTAACTGTCCAAGAAGCCTGTCTCTCTTCTTTAAATATGGCTTGTGGTTCACTCTGCAACACTTAACTTAGTCCCCCCTGCACTATAGGATCCACAGAGGAGTGGTGTTTTGGTGCTGCTAGATAGCATAAGATGCTACTTTAGAAGGTAAGTTTGCTAACCACTGCTTCTTTTTATTATAAGAATAGTCTTTGCCCAACAGTGAGGTCACATCTGCTCCCAGTAGACATTAAATGACGCCTCTGAACAAGAAGCTAAGACAATAATATTCCAACATCTCTCTTGTACATTTTTTATATCAAATTTCCATCCACCCATCCATTTTCTTCCACTTTCCTCCGGGTTGCAGCGCAGCAGTCTCAGCAGAGATGCCCAGACTTCCCGATCCACACACACCTCCTCCAGCTGCTAAGGGGGGACCCCGAGGCGACACCAGGCTAGCTCAGAGACATAGTCCCTCCAGGGACTGGCGGAGACCAACATGCACCGGGAACAGGTCTGACTTACTGCCGGTAGTGCAAACCAAGCTACTACAAGATACTGCAGAGATGTCTCAGCCAAGACAGTCCTACAACATCCATAGACCGAAGGTACTCGGGACGAATCTCATCCACCCCGGGGGCCCTGACCCAAGTAGCTTTCCAACTACCTTGGTGACTTCAGCCTGGCTTAAAGAGAAATTGGAATCTGCAAAAAACAACCTCAGTTGGCCAAAACTTCATTAAAAAAAAATCTGTCCACAAGTCTGAGGGGTGACTCTAGTTCTTTTAAAAACTGCGAATCTTTCAGGCTTCCATTAAATCGCTCACGTTCCGTGGTTCAGTGGCAACACAGACCTATATTTGGACAGAAGCCATGAAACCTAAAATCCTGTTTCTTCATTTGCATTACAACTGACAGCGGTGCTCTGCAGAAAAGTGGCATCACCCCCCTCTTTCTGTTCTTTCCTCTTCCTCATTCATCTCCAGCCAAAATATTTCACACACCCTTCCAAAAAAAAAAAAACAACTAAAAACAACTAAAAAAGGAAAGAGATAAAGCCAGCGTGAACACAAACTGTCAAGTGGTGGGTTATTTAGCCTGCCATGTGACAACAGTGTGAGGCGTGGGGTCAAGCCTCGCTGCGGTGAGTCTTCAGAGATAAAGACAGATCCCTGCATCAGTTAGCTAATCCTGACAGAGAGGTCCTGCCAACACCATTAGGATAAGCCTGTTTGAGTCTCTCCATACATGAATAGTAGACTGAGAAATCTACTGAAACATACTGAAAGCACATACAGTGTCAAGATGGCGGAGTACAGCTTTAAATAAGGTGGCTTCATGGAGAAGAACCACGGCATTTTGGGTTGGCTTGATGGGCTTTTATTGCAGTGGATTTTACGGATCATAAATGTAAAATGACAAGCATGCAGAAGGCTCTCCTGCATGTTTGTTTTTCTTTCATTTTTTACCTAAGAGTCACAAAAATATTCTCTATATTGTTGCACAATGTGGGTGGAAAACAGTTTTATGTTGTGACAAAAAAGGCATCCGTGACATTTTAGAGAGATAATACACATTTTAATTAGGCCTGAAATTCAATATAAAATAGCTATCCTGCAAATACAAAATAAATAAATATCCTGCAGATAGAAAGATACATCAGAAGGCCAAAATTTTTGAACAATAGAGGATTTTTTTACATGCATCGCTGATTTACTCCTGCATCCAAGCAGCCGTGCCTTAGCATCACATGAAAAGCATGCACTGCCGCTCCCTTCATTTGCAAACCTTTGGAAATGTTTGGTGTTGTTATTTAAAAAGCGTTTCTTTTGTTTAAATTGAGACTTGTTTAACATTTGTTTTTTATTGTGTTATTTTTATCAAGTGAAAGGAGGTAGAAGCAATACTGGTTTAAAAAAATAAATCAGCAGCACATATTAGGGATTAGTTAAAGTTCTGTCAAAATAATCGGGATTGGGCTCTAAAAGAACTATATCGGTAGATCTCTAATCTGTAGCATAGGTAGCATGTCTTCAGATGGGTTAGGCTTTAAATAAATATCAGTAAAAGCCTTTTTATCTGACAAATGGTGAGGTAAACGCTATGAGCTCTGTTGCCTGATGAAAGTAAACTCTTAAACAATCCCCTGGGGCAGCTGATTCTCAAATACTACTGCTCCCTTTTTTTTTTTAACAAGCAAGTTGAACACAAAGATTATTAATCTATTAGAAATGTAAAAATATTTTCAGCAGCAGCCTCCTCATGAAATACTAATGATGCCAATTTCCTTTCCGTCCACCCCCCATGCTGGCATCCGTCATCCCCTCCATTTATAGCCTGCAGGAAAGCTTTAAGTACCCCAGACCTGGGCCAGTTAACAAGCCGAAACCAAACCATTGACACCATAACGGAGCAGAGGGGAGGGTCAGTCTTTATCTGTGACCACAGTTTTAAGTGTAATCACGCTGATTGCCCATTATGTGCAAAGTTGGTGCCAACACAGCTTCCTCCGGCAGCACTACCGGCGATCAGATGGACGAACTGAATCGTTTTGCAGCCAGAAGTGATTTTTTTCCAACTATAAAAAAATAACATTATAAGAAACTGAATATTAAAGTGAGCCTCTGTGAGTGCCTGTGTAAATCAAATTTAATACCCATAAAATCTGAAAGTTCAGGAGAGAAGTCATAAACCTCAGAACGAAGCCTCAGTTTATTCTGGATCAGCACATGGATGTTAGAAAACGCTGATAATCAGATTTGTAAACATTGCACTATGTGTCTATTTCCTTCTTTATTCTCCTTCTCATCTCTTCTTCCATCACTCTGAACCTAATAATCTGTCTTCAAAACAGAGATCAACCAGGTTTTAAGGCCAATACTGATACCAATTATTTTGATTATCAGGCTAAACGGTAACCGATATGTGTTGCTTTTTTTGGGGGGGGTGGCCATATTGCTTCTTCTTCCTCTAGTTACAAAGAAAACAAATGTTTGTGTAGTGACTTTATGGAATAGATTGAGCAAAGAGACATAAAGCACAGTGCAAAATGAAATATTTCTGAAAAATCATCATAAAACATCATAAAAGCATACTTTTTAATACTTACAGAGAGATATGAAAATGGATTTGGATATTTCTATATATATAATTTCATTATGCATGTGCATGTATGAGTATAAATGGGTTATCTATGCTATTTTAGCTGACTACAATAAATGTCTATGTGACAGGATAAAATGGACTGAGATTATAAAGGGGCATGAGTTAAAAAAATAAAACCTTTTCTCATCTCCTTTTTTTAACTTGCATCTTAATGATTTCAGTTATGTTATACATGGATTACAATTTACGTATTCTTTAAATTCTACATGCATACTTTTTATTTGAATGAGATAAATTTCTCTCTTCTTCTCTTTCAAATTAACTTAAGTTCAAAGTATTTTTGTTTTACAGCATGGGTGCAGTTCTGTTAAATAACACAATTATGACAGAAGGCATGTTGGTGATAAAGGGATGAGGAGATGAGGAATATTGTTCACTAAATCACTAGACTCATTAAAAAGTATAAAGAGAATGAAAATAAGCAAAACATTACCAATGAATAAAACATGCAACGAGATCACAAGGAGCCAATTAATTAGTGTAAAAAATAAATAAATAAATGCTAATATCTGTCCAAAATATCAGCCACCCATGTATCAGTCAACCCTTACTTCAGCCTGAACATCTGCTGCAGAGATTGAGCCAACCTGGGTAGATAGATGAGTGATATACTCCACAGCACATCACAATACCTATGAGAGCAAAAATTAATAGAATAGAAAATCCCTTTATTGTTCCTAAATGGGGACATTCTGGTGTTTACAGCAGCAAAAAGATTACAGGAAAAGATGGTCACACAATGGGGACCTTAGAAAAATGTATAAAAATAACATAATATTGAAGACTTGAAAAACAAACAAATAAAATGCTGTCCTATAAAGTGTTTTAACTATATAAATAGTGTGCACCTGGAAAATAAATATCCAATATAAGCCATGAACATTTTAACAGTAATAGATATTTGAAAATAGCAGCAACATTAGGAGATGTGCAAAATGACAGCAGTATGTTATTAACCTGACTAAGGTAGAAACTGTGCAAAATCAGCATGAATGTAAAAACTTATTGAGATTGTTGGGAACAGCAATAGTTATAGTCTTGCAGCTGCTGGGAGGAAGAATCTCTGATAATGCTCCCTGAGGCCTTTAGGGTGCAGCAGTCTGTCACTCAATGAGCTCTGCAATTGCAAATAATTGCATTGGATGCAATGTCTTACAGTCAATATAATAGACCTGTTATTGCAAATAGTATATGTGAACAGACTTTGCAGTGTTCATCCATTTTAAAGATTGCTGTTATGTGATGAGAGAAAAGCTTAGGATTATTTCTGTGCATGACAACTGATAAGATGCTGTTCTGGAAAGTGCACTAAAATGTTTAACCCAGTTGTTAAACTTCAAAATAACTAATTTCTGCATGCAAAATACATCGGTCCCTGCTGTTTTTTTAACATTTCCCTGTTTCCCTGCACCTGATTTATTATTAGGCTTGTGCAAAAACCTGATGTCAGACCACAGATGTATTAGGAGTGCATTTAATGGAGTAAAGGCTTGCACGCAACAGTGAAAAACCACGATCCGAACACACGCGGGTTAGATTCCCACGATCGTAGCAGCTCCTCTTGAATGTTAACTATAGGTGATTATCTCAGCTGATAAAGGGGATGTAAGCGTACTTAACCAAAAAATAAATAACAGTTGGACCCACTGCTGAAGTGTTGCAGATCAGGTCGTGATGTTGTAACAGAAATAAGAACCACTGCTTCCTTTTGTAGCAGAATGAAGAAAACCGCCCCACTGACCTGTTGCGTCCGTTCAGCCGGATTCATCATCACAGCCTGCCGAAAGCGGTTATCCACATAAGACGCCATTGTCTTGGAAGGCGGCGTGTAGCTCAGTTTTTTTTTTTTTTTTTTTTTTTTTTGTATATCCTTAAAACTGCTTCACTTGAGTTCAAATGCGATACGCACAATTGTGGTCCTCTCCTTGTTTTAGTTTATCCTTGGTAAATGAGCTCCGAAGCTGGGAGTGCCCGAAGCCAGGCCACGACTGGAGCCAGACAGCCGAGAGCTCTCCTCGGGGTATCGGTCCCTCTCCGCTGCCCAACCCGAAACCCGGCTGCGAACTGCAGTCCCCGCCGCCGCTAATTATTTAAAAACTTCTCTTAAAAAAAAAACGGGTCAAACGGTTCCTCTGGGTTATTTTCTAGCTGTCAAACCTAAAGTCCCACCGTTAAAGCCGGTGTTAAGGGAAGATATTCCTCGTCTCCTCAGCATTTCTGCTAACGACGTGAAGAAATTCCATAAAGGATCCGGTAAACAAAAGGAAAGCTAACGGCTACGAGCTAACCTTTCTGCAACAACATGGCACCCATCACGAAAGGTCAAAACTCTTCCTATTCACTGAAGAAAAGAAAAAAACATTTTTCTTTCTGCATTAGGAGGCAGCTAAAAGTGGGAATTGGTCCACCGCAGTTTGCTGTGTTCTGTTGTATGCCACCACCATGGTGATTGAAAGACACACTGGAATCAAGTCAGGAGGATTTAGAGACTGTACTTCCTGTTGTTTATTTCAAAATAAAAGTCTGCAAACCAACTTTTTTTTTTTTTATTTGTGAACCCTATTAGTTTTTTATTTATTTAGTTTTTACTGGTTGAAAATACAATCGATCTTAGATTATCAGACATCACAGTAAAAGGGATTAATTAACTTTATTAAAAAAAACACACACCACAAACTATAATACTAGGGAGGTGTGATTTATGGACATAGTGATGTTACCTCTACAATCAGAATCAGAAATACTTTAATAATCCCAGAGGGAAATTGCTTTTGTTACACGCTCCAGATACAGTTTCATATATATATATATATATATATATATATATATATATATATATATATATATATATATATATATATGTATGTATGTACGTAGTGATGTGCAAAAATTCTGCAAGGAATGAATAATTGTCAATTACAGAGGGGGGGTGTCTGAACCACTTGAGGGAGGCATTGTAGAGATTGATGACCACCGGCAGGAAATTGGAATGATTTCAGTTGTTGGGCACACTCGGGTGGAGGCTCAAGGACCTACAGTTACACTTTCATTAGTATAATTTTCCATGAATGAGCTCAAACATATATTTATTAAATGCTTTCTTATTTTTGAGAACACAAGACCACACACTAATATTTATATTGATAGATGTTAGAGAGATACCTTTTGGTGCATTACAAATATAGGGCCTAAAAAACATCAATGCATGAAAAAAATCATTAATAAGAGCTGATTCCAATGCCAGAATTGATATATCATGCATCCCTAGAAGTACACTTTCAATAAATCCAGAAATTGGATATGCTGCATTTTAAGTATAGAATAGCATATTTTCTTCTAGTAAACTTTGTGGTAAACTTGGAGATATATGTTATTGCATGTTGAATATAACTACTATACAATTTGATCACAGTAAATGTGGGTAGCTGTACTGTGACGGAACTGATTTATAGTAGTTGTAAAATAAATTAAGGGGATTTTTCTTGCTGCTTATTTTCATTCAAGATCCACTGGGAGTTTGTGTATTATTGTGGATATGAATTTTGGAGTTATTTGTTTTTAATGAATCAAATTGAATGAAAGAAAATGAAAAATAACGATTATGTTTCGATCTGTTCTTAATTGTTTGTTAAGTTTTCTGGGAGCCTGGTAGTATTTGAATATAATTGTAATTTTTTTTTCTAAATCTTATTTTGGCATTGGGATAATTCTATTTCCCCTCCCACAGATTTTCATGTCTATTTGACTTGAAAGGGATTTAGTAACATGAAGGAGGCTTATTATGGGCGAGTCCATTCAACAAAGGATGGAGAGAGGAATGAAATGTAGGAAAGGTAATACTTTGGCGCCACCAAGCGACCTGGTCAGGAACTGTATGTTTAAGTGCATAGGCACAACTATTATGTATGCCATTGAAAAACAATAGCAAACATACCCTTTCGAATTTCTAAAAAACATCTGCATATGTTTATTCTATGATACAGAACTGTGTAAAAGCAATTACATGTTACTGCAAATTAAAAACAATATGTTAAACGTTTTACAGATCAGCTTTAATTTTTTATTAAAATAAAACATATTGTTTAGAAGTTATTACAACCAATTAAGATTCCACAGTTTCAAAGTAGCCTTTTTCTTCCTCACAAGAGCTTTTGGAATTTCAGCAGATGATTCTTTTTGAAAACTATTTCTGATTAGTGCACCATAAACAAGCAAGCACTAAACAAATAATCTATGTTGTGCTGTATTTGTCTCCATGTTTATTTGACTGAATAATCTTACTGGTATTTAGATATAGCCTTCCTGGTTTCCTGGCTCTTGAATGTAATTAGGCCTCAGCAAATAGCACCATGACAACCGTTGATGGTATTACAAGCAACCATGACCCCCCCTGTAGGCAGAGCAGAGTGCTAGGCTCATGTTTTCAGTCCAACAGGGGCATTAGAAGGCAATTTCTTAGCAGCAGATTTTAAAAAAAGGTATAAATGATGCAGAAGAGTAGAGAAGCCTCAGGCGAGCCACAGTATGGGCAGCGGATCATTTTTACAGGTAGGAAAATTTAGTGAATATTTGCCTAACTTGTTTTTCCCTTTGCTGGGGATACTTCTTGGAGGAAAATTGGAAAATAAAATAATGTAGAGCAATTTTTATAATATTAAAAAGATTTCTTGGACTGACAGAAAGTGTGCAGTATGCATTAAAACAAAATCTGACAGGTGCCAAAATATGGGCACCTCTGCAAAATAAAGAGACATTAATATTTAGTAGACCCTCCTTGTGCAAAAACAGCAGCCATTAAAAGCTACAGTTGCTTCCTGTAGCTTTTAATGACTTCCTGAATGAAGGGAGTTTTGACCATTCGTCTTTGCAAAACATTTCCAGTTCAGTTAAGTTTGATGGTCGCCGAACATGGACAGCCTGCTTCAAATCATCCCACAGATGTTCAATGATATTCAGGTGTGGGGATTGGGATGGCCATTCTATAACATTGTAATTTATCCTCTACATGAATCCCTGAGTAGATTTGGAGCGGGGTTTTGGATCATTGTCTGGCTGAAATATCCATCCCCCGCCGTAACTTCAACTTCTTAAAAGATCCTTGAACATTATTCTCAAGAATCTCCTGATACTGAGAGGAATCCATGCGACCCTCAACTTTAAAAAGATTCCCAGTGCCAGCATTGGCAATGCAGCCCCAAGCATGATGGAACCTCCACCTAAATTTACAGTGGGTCACAAGTGTTTTTCTTGGAACGCTGTGTTTTGTTGCTGCTATGCAATCTTTGTTTGATCAGTCCACAGGACGGTATTCCAAAATGAAGCTAGCTGGTCCAGATGTGCTTTTGCATATCTCAAGCGATTCTGTTTGAGGCTTGCTTATAGAAAAAGCTTCTGTGGCATCATTCTCCCATACAGCTTCTCCTGGTGCAAAGTTGAACGATGCACAGTGACATCACCTGCAGCAAGATTATGCTGCAGGTCTTTGGAGGTGGTCTGTGGGTTTTCCTTGACCATTCTCACCATTCTTCTTCTCTGTCTCTCTCTGATATTTCTTGGCCTGCCACGTCTGGGCTTAACAAAATCTTTCTCTGTGATCTTCCATTTCCTTACTATATTCCTCACAGTGGAAACTGATACTTTGAATCTGCGAGACAACTTTTTGTATCCTTCCCCTGAATGACTATGTTGAATAATCTTTGTTTTCAGATCATTTGAGAGATGTTTTAGAGGTGCCCATGATGAATCTTCAGAGGAGATTCAAACAGGAGAACAACTTCCAACTGACCACCTCATGATTGGATACACCTGGCTATGAAGTTCAAATCTTAATGAAGTTACCAAACCAATTTTATGTTTCAATAAGTTAGTGAAAAGTAGTTAAGGAAGTTATTTTTGGTCAGCCACACTTATTTCATAAATCTAAAGAGGGGGACATTATATTTCCTCAAAAAGGTTTGGATATTTTCTTTCTTTACTTTAGTAAATTAAATCATCATTTGAATTTAACAGCTTGTCTTCCTGGGTTGCCTCACTCAGCTGAATGATTGATAACTATAAATAAATCACAAGGGGAGATATTCAAATCAATCAATCATAAAATGATTAGGGTACCCAAATTTTTGCATCTGTGAAGTTTTGTTTTAATGCATATTGCACATTTTCTGTTAGTCCAATAAACCTATATTCAATACTGAAATATTACTGTGTCCATCAGTTATTAGATATATCAAACTGAAATAGCTGTTGCAAACACCCAACTATTTAGAAATAAAAATAATTACGGTTAATAGGGGTGCCCTGTTTTAAGAATTCTAAGAGAGTAGAGACCACTTTTCCTGGGGTCCATTTTCAACACAAATCATCACAATCAGTACATACAACTAATGACATGGTTACTTTGGGAACATCAAAAATAATAAATAGGAAATGATTTATTATCATTGCAGCTGATTGATTTGAATACTGTAAGCTTTATGTGTTATTATCTATTTCCTTTCGTCAAACAACAGTTCAGTGAAACAGTATTGCATGGGATACATTTAGTACATTCATCCATGTGGTTAATATTTTCCATTTGTTAGAGAGTACCACGCCTCTTGTACGTACACAGCTAAAGATAGGCACCAGCACCCCTCACGACCCCAGCTGGGATAAACGTGACAGGAAATGGATGGATGGATGGATGGATGGATGGATGGATGGATGGATGGATGGATGGATGGATGGATGGATGGATGGATGGATGGATGGATGGATGGATGGATGGATGGATGGATGGATGGATGGATGGATGGATGGAAAATGTAACTAGAATCAATCAATGACATAACTTCCAAGGCTGTGAAAACATATTTACATTTTTTTTTCTCATTTCAGATGATCAAATACATTTGAATATAAAAGATAACCTTTTAGATAATGTATTCTTTGTTTCATTTGATAAAGAAATACATTTGGAAAAAAAATGATTCTCAGTGAGGTTTTGTTTGAAACACCCATTGCTTTAGTTTTTTTTTATCTTTTAAGAGGCAGACCTCAGGTTCCTGTTCTGCATAAATCAAGTATGCCTGAGCTTTAAATCATGATTGAATGGTCGGACATTCTCCTTCAGGATTTTCCTGCAATATGTGTTAGCATCCTTATCCTTACACAGCAAAGTACCCCCTGACCATCATGTTTAGCTGTTGTGACATCATATTTTTTTCTGACAAATGTTACATACATAGTTAAAATCTTATTGGGAAAACCTAATAGGTCTTTGTGTTCTTTTGGGTCAGTCATAGTTCAGATCTTGGACCTCTCCCATTCAGCCCATTTTGTTTGGTTTGGTCTCTATTATTGTGTAATCATGAACCTTTATCTTTACTGTGGCAAGGGATGCCTGCAGAGTTTTAATTTCTAAGGGGAGGAATCAGCAGCACATATCCCTCACATTGGACCCTTTTTAATAACCTTATAAAGACCAAAAATACAGAATAT